TATTCATTCAGTTTATTTATTAAAAATATAATATAAATATAATTAATTTAATTGATTTCTAAATTCTATGTGCATCAATATATTTTTAAATTTATTTATTTTTAATTTTAAATAAAATAATAATAATTTTTTTATAAATATATTAATAATGTATTAATGACCAATAGCGGGAGTCATTGTAGCATAGAATTCTTTGCTGGGCATTGCTTTTCAATTCTATTTTTGTAACCCGTTGGACCCGCCTGCCATTGATCATCTCATCACCAGCTCGGATGACCTGAACATGTTTTTTCCACACCCCGTTACATACGCCTATATGAAATTTCCATTTTCCTTTTCCTTTCCTTTCAATTGTTTTCAATGAATTATTTTGTATTTAATTTTTTTTATTAATCTTTCAATATTCGATAATTATATTGAATCCTAACTAATTTAAAATTGAGTTGCGTCGGACCTTACAAAGGAAACTCTCCCAGCACTCATTTTTCTGTTCATAAGATTCGAAGTCAAAATCTTATTTGAAGAGAATCGAACTCTTTCTATTCAAACTAACAAATCATTGATAAATTATTTTGTATTTAAATATTCTTGGCTTTTCAACATTTTGTTTTAATATCTTTTACATACTTTAGTGTTAAGTAATAGCGACACTTCTCTATATGTAGCTCATGCACAATACAGATTATAAATAAAAACTTACTTGAATGAATATTGCGTAATTTAAAAATATTTGAAATGAAATGTAAATTTCATAGAAATTTTTTTTATCTACAAATCTCAAAGAAATATAAACAACAAACCATGGGAACAATAATTTAAACATTAGAGGAGCTTGAGCTTCATCCACTAATTATTTTGCCATAAACTTCTCCAATAATTCAATTGGATGGGACCTAATATGTATTTTTTCACCTCATTGATACGATTACTATAATTTTTTTTCTTCACTTTGAAATTTCTTCATCTCTCTCTTTTGTTATGGAGTTATTAAGTTTTGCAAAATAGATGCTAGACTTGTCTTTTTCCACATCCCATTGCATACGCTTATACGAAATTTCCTTTTTCCATTTCCTTTGCTTTCAATTGTTTTCTATGAATTATTATTCTTGACTTTCAACGTTATGTTCTACTATCTTCCTCACGCTTTAGTACTAACCAATAATGTCCATATACTCGGTCGCGCTTATCTTCCACGAGGAGCTGGGGATGCGGATGGCTAAAATGATTGAGCTCCATCGATTTTTCTTTCTTCAAACTAGAAATCTTTCCGTTTGGTTTGGGTGGTGACTGAGGAATATATTTTTTAATAATTAAGTTATACAAAACGGGAGTCAACTTGTACTGGTAAAAACAATTGAAGTTTATTATATTTTTTAATAATTAAGTTATACAAAAATAAAAAAATTAATTTTAATTTTAATAATTAATTAATTACATTAAAATATATAATATTAATGTTAAAAACAATATTATCAATTTTTTAAATATTTTATATAACTTAATAACTAAAAATATATTAATTATATCTTTAATATATATTCTAACAATACAAGTAAAAAATTATTAAATAATATTCTTATATGAATTATTTTCAACATTCAACAAACTTTGGCTCATTTGATACTGCCTTCCAGTCACATTTAAAATTGAATAATAGTTTTCCAGTTATGTGATTCTAGGTACGTATGAACAAAATATCTATTACACTTTTTAATAATTAAATTATATAAAAATGAAATTTAATTTTAATTTTAATAATTAATTAATTATATCTAAATATGTGATATTAATGTTAAAATTAATATTATTAATTTTTTTATTTAATTTAATAATTAAAAATATATTAATTATATTTTTAATATACACCTTAAAAGTTCTTGTTAAAAAATTTTATTAAATAACATTCTAATATAAATTATTTTCAACATTCAACAAACTTGGGCCATTTCACGTCATGGCTGATGCTGCCTTTCACTCACTTTTAAAATTAAATAATGTTTTAAGATAAAAAGTCATATTCAATTTATTAATTACGTAATTAAATTTATTCATATAATATTAACACTAAAATTAATATTTATTTTTATTTTTTTATATAAATTTATTGTAAAAATGTGCCATTAACCTAAATTTAATTTTTAGATACAGATTAAAAATCCATTATTTTTACTCATTAAAACAAGGAATTATTTTTACTTAGGGTAATGTTTATTAAGATTGAATTTTTAGATAAAAATTTAAATATTTTAATTTTAAATTATTCCTCCCATTCATTTTTAGTAAATTTAATTTGACTTTTTAACTTTTTAACTTTTTAAATATAAATTTCAAATAAAAATTTAATATATTATATAAATAATAATTAAAATTTTTTTAATCAAATTAAAGTACTCAACGAAACTTTATGTAGAAATTTTTTTAATTATTATTTATATAAATTATTAAATTTCTATTTAAAATTTATATTTAAATAATTAAATTAAATCTATTAAAAATGAACAAAAAGAATATATAGAAGCATATGAGAATTGTACCAGAATTAATATTTATTTTAATTTAATTTAGTTGTTTAACTTTTGCGTAAAGCTTTAGCAAATAATTTTATACATGAAAAAACTAAGTATCAACTTGTAATGTTAATTTTTAGGTGGAGTTCATTTAATAAAACGATGTGGTTCGGCATTTAAAGCACAACTTAACATGAAAGCAACTTTATGATTTATATTGATCAAGAAGATCACAAATATTATAAAATGTAAAACAAAATATAAAAATATAAAAAATTTATATATGAAATTTTCTCTTTTTTTTAACTAATATATTTTATTTTGTTTCAAGGGCCACATGGAAAAAGAAAAAATTTTGTGAAGAGATTGAAAAGAGAAATTTTAGAAAGGGACTCAATCAAAGAAATTCAAAGTTGAAAGTTAAATTACAAAAGACACACAAAAGCCTTTGAAGCTCGGCGTATCCTCATTAAAACTCATCTCATGCATATAGCTAAGCCCAGTCCAGCGTTCGGCCCAACGTCATCCAAAAATCAACCCAAAACCACTAAACCCAAACTCAGCCCAAAACCAATGACAAAAACCTAGTTTCCTTTTTGAGAGGGGAGGTGGCAGACTAAAAAGAGAAGGGATTTCTCTCCTTCTCTCTGGATCCTTCTGCTTCCTTTTTTATTTTTTCTGTCTTTCGTCACCGGTTCTCTGCCTTTTCTCCGATCATCAGTTTTCACCTCTTTCATCACCGATCTCATTCCTTTGGACCTTTTTTATCTGCATTGCACAACCCCTCAGCAGCAAATCAAATTCCTGATTTTTACCCTAAATTAAAGTTTTTAAATTAGTGTGTATGACTCAACCAAACTCTTATTCGTTGTCATATGAATTTCTTATGGTTCTTGTAACTTAATAGAAATACTTTGGTGGTTTGCCATATTCGAGAAAATAGCTTATAATTTTTAATAAACATAATAAAATTCAAACTATAATAGAGATGAAAGACCAAGAAAACTAAACGTGAGCAAAATAGATTGGGTTGAGCTGTGCAGTTTGCTATGTGATTGAAATTTTCTTTAATTTGTTTATAATCTTACCTAGTTTTCTGCAATTAAAAGGTGTTAGGTATCCTCACAAGGGGGAATTGAAATCATTTATTTTTTTTATAATTATAAATTTAACACTACATAAAATTGTAACTATATTATTTTTATATTTAAAAATGATTCTTTTACAATGAGATTTGAGAGTCTAGAAACTTCCAACAATATAAGCTTCTCTTGATTAGTGGATGTAGATTTGTTTTGAAAAAAAAAAATAGTTTTAAAAAATAAAATTTGTGTTTTTTAACTTTTTATTTTGCTTCATTAGTTGTTTAATTTTGTTTGCATTAACATCTTTTGGTGTTTATTTCTTTAAATTACAATTGAAGCATGTCAAATCTTAACAAATTAATATGAAGCCAAACACTTCCTTCACCAATAAGTAAAATTATTTTGAGAAAATAATGTAAATATCACCCCAAGCACGATCTTCAACTTAATGATCAATCAAGTTTTAAAGCTCATTATTAACTGAAATTTAAAAGATGGAGGAAGGCTTAATTAAAGGGTATCATCACCATTATTGTTTTATTATTATTATTATTATTATTATTGTTATTATTGTTATAAACTACTCAAATAAATGGATGTTTCACCTTCATCCTTCCACCCTTTAAGCTTTCTTCGTTGAATCACTAAGTCTCATTCATTGAATGAAAGTTTATTCATTGAACCACTAGATTCATAGAACCACTATATTCATAGAACTAGCAAATTTTGTTCAATGTTCCTTTTAGTTTATGAATTTTCAATTAAATTTATTCATTAAATTTATGTCAAATTCATTTTCCTTTAGCCTATATATAGGTGGGCATTGTATGAAACTAAAAACTGAAACTAAAGAGTGAAAGAAATGAAGGAATAGAAGAACATACTTCTAAAGCATTCTCATTAGCCACACCTTCTCCCCTCTTTTTACCTCTTTTTTTTACCTTATCTTTATATATTCTTATTTCCTCATAATTAAGTATCATTTATTTTATAATAAGTTTTTCCTTCTTTTTTAAAATTTCAATATTCTCTAGCTTCTACTCAAGTATATCGCAATTTCAATAAAATTTTTAATAAAAAAAAAAGAAGACTATTTTATTCTCTTTTAATTTCTATTGAATTACTTAAATCACAATAAATATAATGTTCTGATTATGTACGTCTTGAATTTTAAGCTGACAGACTCAAAAAAAGGTGTTCACAAATTTTTTTTTCTTTTATATAGATATATATGACTATTTTACAACTTCATTACAAATAACAAAAAACTGAAACTACATTGCTCAAAAATGAAGAGATAATGCTTTGTAATGTATCATAATAACATGAAGAGCAAAACACTTGTAAAGAAAACTACATTAGATTTTCAAAAAGTCTAATCCCATGATCACTGACTTTCCGCCACATCTCATCCAGATATTGATAGTATGCTTGCCTCCAATGCCTACAAATCACAAGAGGACTCAATACACTTCAAAATCCAAAAGTAAATCCAAGTGCCATGCTAACAAACAACCAATTCACTTTATCTCCATCCATATCTTTCCCCCCATTGTTTCCACTGCTAGTTACTCTTTGAATAACTATGTTGCACTTCCCCATTGGAAAGCCACAAAGTTCATCTCCAGTGTGACAAGATGCATCAAAGCTCTGTAACTGAGTACTTGCAAGAATTCTTCCAGTCAATCGGTTGCCAGAAAGGTTCAAGTAGCTTAGAAATGACAATTTGGACATGCTTTCAGGGATTAACCCAAGCAATTCGTTTACAAAAAGATTAAGAGATTCTAGTGAACTCATGTAACCAATATTTGGAGGGATTCTTTTGGTAAAATGGTTGTGTGACAAATTTAGTGATTGCAACCCCTAAAGGCTAGTTATTTCCCAAGGAATATGTCTAGATAGACTATTATTTGACAAATCAAGAACTTTTACCAAATTAGGAGTCCAGCCATATTCATAAAATTGGCCTTTCATCACAAGAAATAAATTCTCAATAAAATATGATGAGCCATAGTCCATGTAGTTCTCAAATGATCCATTTATAGAATAAAACATGGCACTTAAGTTACTAACGCAACTTGGTAAGCTTCCTGAAAGACTATTATGAGCAACATCCAAGATATGGAGAAAACTAAGTGCACACAACACTCTAGGTATATGCCCTGAAAACTTGTTTGAATGGAGGTTCAAGATTGTTAGGTATGGAAGATTATGACCAATCCGTGATGGGATGCTCCCAACCAATTCATTGTAATAGAGGAAATGTCACAAGCTATTGCAAAGGTATGTTACAAGTTCTTATTACATAGGAAAATGATCGGTTCTTATTACATAGGAAAATGATCGATTCTTATTACATAGGAAAATGATTGGTACACCTTCTGGTTTAACACATTTTTTGACATATTCCGGTTTAATGATTAAAAATATAATATAAATACAATCAATTTAACCAGTTCCTGTATCATGTGTGCATGATTGTATCATTAAACTTGTCTAATTCTAACTTTAGATAAAAAAAATAATTTTTTAATGATGACTGTGTCACGCAGTGTATTGAATCAAAGTGTGTACCGTCATTTTTCATAAAGGATTAATTCTAATAAATTTCAATATATTTTCTTATAATTTTTCCAATCGTTCCAAATCAATTAACCATCTTTTGTAGTTCATGATATATTCAGGCCATAAAAAGGCAAGAGTGATTGCAAGTTGTTGACGACCACTTAAGATTTTTTCAAAATAAATTAAAAACTCAAGTCTGAAAAATATAAAAAAGAAGGAGTCGTCACTCATCCAAATTATAAGGTGGGACAAGTCACCTAAAATGAGTCTGCGCAAGGATTCAGGGTTCGGGGGTTTGGTTAGGAGTGAGGAAGGGCATACGCGCACCTCACAATCCTCCGTTTAAACACGGTTGCATATTTTAAAATTGAGGGTTTTGATTCAACTTATTCATCATGTTTATGTTTGAGTCTTAATAGGTAAACTTGAAAAAAAGGGAAGCTAAATTGAAACATTTTTTTTATTTTGGACTAAAATAGACAAACTCAAGAACATGCATACACAATAACATGAACAAGAAGTTAAGGGACTAACTTGATTAAATTCGAAAGATGAAAGACCGATTTGATTAAATTCAAAACATAAAGGACTAGTTTGAACAGATTTAAAACCTAAGACTAAATTGCTTAATCGTAAAAACCTTGGGTGAAACTGAAATGAAAAAAAATAATTTTTGACTTTTAGCAAGATTAAAGGAAATTAAGGATTTAAATTAATTAACTAAGATAATTGATTTAATTAAATGATTAATTTATCATTAATTAAAATTAATTAATCAAATTTATGAATCTTTTTAATCAAGATAATTAAATAATATAATCATCTTAGATTAAGATCAATAAAAATGATTAATTTATTTTAATTAAAGTTAATTAATTTTATTAATCATAAACTAAATTAATTATCCTAATTAATTAATCCTTTTTATTTACATTATATAAATTTTTTTTACTTTTTTTTGTTTTAGTTTTTTTTACTGGACTGGGTCGGGTTGGATCGAACCCGCAACAAAACACAACCCAAAAACACAATCCTTCGAATAGATGAACACAAAACAGATCAAATCTTGAACAAAAATCGAAATCCAAACGACCTGAAGAGAAATTTAGAGTTCATCATTTTACTTCTCATTTTCAGCAAGAAACACATTCATCAGGTAAAATAAACAGAACAATCTTTTTTGATTTTTCATTCATTTTCCAACGAAACACATACAAACTTAAACACAGATCTAAACAAAATCAACAGAAAATAACAAAAACACCCACGGCAGAATTTTTAGGAGGTAGATCCAGATCGGAAGGGAGGGATCCCACCCACGGGACCAGGCTCCGTTCGTCTCCTTCACTATCCTTCCCAAAAATCCCTCTGTTCAGGAGATTACCTAAAGCAAGAATACCCTTTTTGTTTTCCCACCTCCAGCGAGCAGAATCGATCTTCTTTTCAAACTAAACTCGAAAATCAACCAGCAAAAGACCCCCTCTTCTCCTCAGAATTTCCTTCTTCTGCTCTCAAAACTCAGACGAGACTCCCAGGCAAACAGACCCAAAATCAACCCAAAAACCCCCACACCCCATTACTCTGCTTTTGCCCTATATATATACCCCAAAAAATAAAAATAAGATGCAACAAAAGACAAGGGCCTTGCTCTGTCAATCAATGATGCCAATTTATCCGGTACTCCTTGTCTTTTCTGCATGTGAGGCAAGGTTGGGGGCTGCAGTAAATCAGCGGTGCAGAGGCGCGGGATTGGGGTGAGGCGCGGTGTACAGGGAGGCAGGGGCGTGGAGTGCTGATGATGGCTCGGGCGTGCAGGGGCATCATTGCCGGCAGTGGGGTGCAGCAGGGCAAGCACAGTGCAGGCGACCTGGTGCAGAGCGCAGAAGCTGGTGCAGAGCAAAGCTGGTGCAGGAAGCAAGGCCGGGCGCAGCAGAGTGCAGGCTGGGGCAGAGTGCAAACGATCTGGGCGCAGAGCAGGGAGCAAGGGCGTAGGTGCAGGGCTGGTGCAGCTAGGCTGGGCGTGCGAGGGGGCGATGATGGCTCGGTGCAGGGCAGGTTGCAGGCGTGCGAGGGGGGGATGATGGCTAGTTCGGTGCAGAGCTGGGCGCATGAACTAGGGACGTAGGAGCTAGGGGTGCTGAGCAGGCGTGGGAGTGCAAGGCTGGGCGCGGTGCAGAGGGGTAGGCTGGCTCGGCTGCAGAAGAGAGGAAAGATTGATGGGGAAGGAGTAGGTTCTAGATCCCTCTTTTTTTCGTTTATTTCCCCCTTTTTTTTTCTTTTTTTTTGAGTTTTTGGATAATTGGGTTTTAAGTTGAAATGGGTTGGTGTTGGGCTGAGTTTGGGTAATTGTGGGTTTTGGGTTTTGGGTAATTTTTGGTTTTGGTTTGGGTTTGATGGATTTTTGGGCTAGACTTTGCATTTCACCCCTCTAACTTTCCATCTCTTCAATTGAGTCCTTTTTCTCATCTTCTTTTCCAATCTTCTTCGTGAAATTTCCTTTTTGCCCTCCCCCTTTTTTGTTTGAATGAACCTAACAAGTTAAACAAAGATAAAATATATTAGTTAAAATAAAAATAAAATTCTATTAAAATTTAAGTTATGACACAGGTGAAGTAACATCATTTGATTTATTATTTTCTCCTAATTAGCTGTTTCAATATTTCAAATTTTAAATTGATGTCTGAGGCAAGTGTTATTTTTATGTTATCTTTATTATATAGCTCAGCATTAAATTTCATTAGTAATGGTAAAGATGGCCACCATATATATGCTTGCAAATTAAACAAGCAAGCTCAGCCAAACTTTTGCCAATTCTAGCTTAAGTAAATTTGTGCATTAGTTCGAATTTGCTTGATAAACCTTTTCAAGGTCGATTAGAATTTAGAAGCTCGACAAGCGTTTTTCTTTTGGGCCAAATTAAGAAGCTCAGGCTATGTTTTAGTATGGTCTTGATTAGTTGTTGTTGTTTTATTATTTTATTTTTTAAAAATAAAACTAAGAATATATAAATAGAAAGAACAATGATTAGTATACACTCGGTTGAATATATTGAACAATATATTTATTAAAAAATCATTATTTCTTAATATAAAATTAAAGGCAAACAAATTTAAACATACAATCATACACATGAGATGTAAAAACTAATTGAACCGATTGAATCAATTATATTTATATTATATTTTTATGGTTAAACTAGAAGTATGTCAAAAAATATGTTAAACTGAGTATGTACTAATCATTTTCCAAATAAAAATTGAGAAAACTTAAGACATCTTGAGAATCAAAATTTTAAGAATAATAATAAAAAAATTAAAATACCCTTAAAAATTAATATGTAAAAAAAATTTATTAAAAGCATTTGAATAATTTCATAAGAAATGCTAACATTTAAAGTGTTAGGTCGTTGTGATTTTCACATTTCTCATTTCAATAACAGAAGAATTATAATGTATTTATGACTTGCCATATAGACATTACATAAAAACAAAAGAGCATATAACTTATTAAAAAAATTTTGGTTTTTGTTTTATATTTTTTTTATATTTGTAATTACTATTATATTTAGAAATTAAAATTTTTTTAGTATGTTGAATGATGGACAATACAATAGAAAATAGTTCTACCTTCTCAAATCCCTCCTCATCCATCTACTATTTAAATTTAAAATTTTAAACATAAAGAGTCAAACTCTTAATTATTAAGATGTCTCATAGAGGACAAAAATTAAAATTTATAATAAAAATTAAAATTTATTAAATTTAATCTAAATATCATGTAAACTATTAAGTATATAAAAATGAAAATTAAAATTTAAAGCTTAAAAGATTAAACTACAGTAAATGGAAGCTTGATAAGCTTCTTAATTTGTTATCAAACCTCTTGGTTTTTACCTCCTTTTTTTTTCTTTTTCTTTTTTTTACAGGCACAGTAACAGGAGTTTCAGGCGCTGGAGCCTTGGGAATTGGGGCAGGTATATGGTACTTTAGGAAAGTGAGGGCTGATGCACCTGTGACATGTGAGGTTCAAAGCAATGAGAATAGGCTTTTCTGAAGAAAATATTCAGCAGGCGCCTTTATTCTCTTCTTTCTTTTGTAATCTTTGATTTTTGAACATCCAAAAAATTCTCAAATTATCAGTTTATGCTTGTTTGTTTGTTTGCATGATACAAAATTGAGAGAAAAAAGCAAGTACTAGCCTAATTTTGCAACACAAACAGAATCGATTCACAAATTAATAGCCTTTACTTGTGCATATTCTTTCTTTTATTAAATCAGTTTTTATTCTTTCTCCTTTTTTTTTTTTAATAAAAATAAGTTTCGATTCTTTCGAGTATTCTACAATTCCCTTCTTAAAAACATGTCAAAAGTCTATTGATATCAACAAATGGTTTTTTTTTGGAGTGGGTGTGAGCTAGGTGTAATCGTATAAAATCTCTAATTGTTAGATTGGAGATAGTTTTGGAATGGAGATAGTTTTGGAATGGTGTTGAGTGTGAGATTCCCTTGTTTGTAAGTTGAGTGAGAGTTGCCGGGAGAAATTGTCTCACATTTTTTTTTTTTTT